TAAATATATTGTTTGACTGCAGCTGATATAAGTAAAAAACGTTTTTGATTAATAAATGATACTTKAACGCCAACCTGTTGATGTTTACTTACATTGTATCTTGCTGTATATTGTGACATATTTTTCGATTGAAATCGACCCCCGGGGAGGGCCGGTTTTTTTTAACACAATTTTTAAAACACATTAACAATGTGGTCTCTTCTTCCACGTCTCACTCAGAGAGACACTTCCTTATATGAACTGTGGTATTCTAAAGTAATTTAATAGAATAACRAGATATGGACGTCATCGGAAGCGATGTAATGACTCTTAGAACGGCCTACTCTTTGATAGTTCTATTATATTACATTCCAAGATGTTTATATATTCTGAAGTAGCCATATAAACTCTAAATGTCGGCAAAGATGAAAAAAATTCACATCGAATTCGAGTACAAAAGACGAACATTTATCACATGCATGGAAACGCCTACTTGATGTCGCAGTTCAGAATTTTGTATTGTTCTGTCATGCGGTGCTAATAGACTGTAATAACGTTTTTCCTGAATATAGAGATCATACTTGTAACTATAGCTTTATAAGTCCCACTGCGAGGATGTAATAATTATAGTATTCTTTTGTGATAGGCCAATTAATTAAACCTTTCTGTAGTTCTTTAGATTGCTAGTTTATCACCTCATCTTGAGAAGACAGCTAATTGGGTCATTCGCAGGACGTCACTTTTAATGAAAGTGCTGGAGTTTGATTTAAAAAATCGAAACCTAAACGCGCAAAAGGGACCAGTTAATATCAAGTTTGGGTAGTAGTAGGACAGAGTTGAAATCATTACTGGTGGGAAAATAGAAGATCTAGCTTGAAGTCATTACCACAACCACCATGTCTCCTCTCTATATCGTGATTCCTTTGTCGATATTGTCTATCGTCATTGTGTTGTTCAATATTGCTGTTTGTTGCCTTGTGTGTTGTAACAAGAAACTAAGGACGTTTACAAATGGCTTCATTGTCTCACTGGCCATATCTGACATCATGGTAGGTGCGATTTTATTTCCGTGTTACCTGACTAACCCATTTGGTACGGCTGAATTCATAGGATATATAGTTTCCATTATTCTTCTTGCTGGAGTATCCAACCTATGTACAGTAACATACGATCGTTATTTGGCATTAAGTCATCCCCTTACATACAAATACAGAGTTTCCAAGATATTCGTTAGGGCTATAATAGCTTCATGGACGATACCCATCATATATTCGCTCTTGCCTTTAATATGGAGCACAGATATGAAACTACCGATACACAAAATCTACATCATTGGCCTGCAAGTATTTGGTGTTATGATTCCATATATTCTTATTATAATAGCGTATATAAGGATCTACGTCAAGGTAAAGAGAAGTCTCAAACGGCGAAGAAAGTTTTCAATGAACTCATTACAACATTCAAAGCAAGAAAGACGTCGCGTGTCAAGTGAGGTGAAGGTCGCTAAAGTGTTTTCAATTGTTGCTGCCTCATTCATTTTATGTTGGATACCAGTGATTTATATAACAACTGCAGATCAAATACTTAATAARCAAAGTCTTATTCCTGAGCCTTTGGGAAGCGTTTCACTATTCACAGTCGCATTCAGTTCGTTAGTTAATCCACTGTTATATTCTTTTATGAAACCAGATTTCTATCAAGTTATATCTAAGGCTTTGCGATCTTGTATAACACCAATGGGCAGAGGCAACGAGCAAACCATTGCTTTATCACCCATAAGCGTGTGTACTGAGAACAATTCGTGAATCATATCGCAGTACTATCACGACATATCACAATGGACAGGTGCGTATATGGACGCTAGTCCGCTGAGCCATATGCATGGAGAAAACGGTGTGCAACTTGTGGACTACAAGGTATTTCACTTGTTATAATACGCAGCCGACACCGTTGTCTTATCGTGTAGAATTCACAAATATACTAGTAATAGATCAGCCCCGCGGGTGGGGGTCTTATAAAAGTTGGTAGGTATACTCGACGGACCTTTYAGGGTCAAAAATAAACCCCCCCGTGTACCTTTTAGGGTCCTGAGCTGACCCCGTACCTTTAAGGGTCAATTTTCGAACAACGGAAAAAAATTGAAGAAGTCTTAGAAAGAAATGGATTTTATTAACCTTAACAATCTATCGACATTGATTTTCTACAATTTGTTAAATTTGGTCGTACCTTTTAGGGTCTGGAATCGATACATGAATTAATTTATGCGTACCTTTTAGGGTCATTTTTCAATCCCTCCCTCGAGCATACCTACCAACATTTATAAGGGAGTCCCCCCAGGGAGATTGTAAAATGAAAGAAAGAATGAATGAATAGAATTACTTTCCACGAACATTTCATCCACAGAGGCCAGAAATAAAAATAAAAATAGCTTTAAACCATAAAAGCGCACGTATTTGTGATAAGCATTTCCTAATCGGATAGTCGAAGTATACTGTTTTTCTGGTACAACAAAACTGACCATGCATTTTCACGCTCACAATGATTTGGCAAACCTCGCGTCCATCTTTGTATCAACTAACATCGTTACATTGAAGAATGAAATTTTGCTATTTTTAAACACATAAAACATGGCGAGTTCGCCCTCGGCTACAAAATCGTTGGCATCGTGTCAAGGCTCAACTCCGAGTTAATACGATAATAGAGAATAGTGTTATCACCGGATAAAAAGGTTTACATGCCACCCTGATCTTTTAACAAGTAGCGTCCAAAACGTAGCGTGAGTTTTAATTACATGGTCGATTTGAAGTGTGAACTATCAAGGGTAGGACGTGGACCGCGTGACACTATGAGATACATGAAAGTAATAGTGCTTGGAAATGAGGTCATTCCGGGRGAATAACCCTTGGTAAATTTGGAAAATTAATTTCCGACCTCGGTGCTATTCGAACCATAAGGTCAGACTGGCAGCAGGTCGGAGTACAAATGCGATGGTGGTGGATTCGAATCCCAGCGAGGTCGGAAATCAATTTTCCTGAATTTAGTTCCAAGGGTCTTTCTCCCGGAATAACCTTCTTTCTAAGCACTTACTTTATATTAGGACTAATGAAGACCCAATCAAGATCAACGAAAAAAACAAATCAAGCAAAACAATACCAAAAATAACAACTTTTATTACCATTAAGTCGCTAAATATTGTCAAATCCAATGTCGTCACTTGTAAACCCTAACCTATTTAAACAAGTATAAGGTATACATGTCGGTAAATACACTCTTCTAATAGCAGTTTTCCTTTGTCATATATTACCATTTCAAATCAAACACCTAGCTTCACAAGCTTTTTTTGTTTTAAAATTGTTGCTGTTGTGATGGCACCCAAAGAAGATAAACGGCTCACACTTCCCTTTTTTGTAGTTGAAAAAAAAGCGACGAGTTTGCGTTCGCACTGACCCACACGGCCGTCCTGGGTTCTTGGAAAGGCGACAGATATTTTTTCCTAAAAATAGGCAATTATTGGAATCAACTGTGAACTAAACGGTGATGCATGAAACTAAAAAGCCCCTTATACAAGCCAACTACTTACTTTTAGGTTTGCAGTGACACGTCTTACAGCCGTTGTCATCAACTATGTGACCATATTTGCATCKCCGGCATTGCAGTTCAGTGCATTTCTTTTTATTTTTTGACTTTTTGATGGCAAAATGAGGCACGCCGTGGTTTTTTGTGTTTTGGTCCAGGCAAAAAGTATTCTTACAGTTCCAGATCCCATGCACACAAGAACTGACGAAGAAAATTTTATCAAATCATTAATACATGAAAACGATGACTAGTTCTGAGCTTTTTTACTTACCATATCTCACACGGTCCATTGCGCACTTGTTCACCGAATTTATAAAGTTGACCATCCTTTATGCAACCTGCCAGTAGAATACCACAAAACTCAAATGATACTAATAAGAACACGTCACAAGACCAAACTATTCGATGTTTGTACATCACTACAACTTACGTTTGCATGGGCCGTGTTTGAATGGGATCTGAATGTTTCTTTTGCACTCGTATTTTCTTAGCTCGCACTCGCTGTCGTATTCTCTACCAGTATTGATATCGCAGACTTTGCGCCCACTTTTCTTGCAGTGTCTGGGGCATTCACACACTGCCTGGTTGTTAACCACACCACAAGAATAATACTTCGGGCACGACAACGAACTACAAGCAGCTAGAATACACAATGATTAGCCACAATGATAGCTTTGTACAGAGGTGGAATGAAATAAGATTTTTAARAAGAGAACAGCTTTCAGTTTCGACAAGTTGCGGCGATCGCCTTAATTCCTCAGATAATTTAATGGTACGTCATAGGTGTATAAATACAAAGATGGAATGAACTGTTTATCCATGATAGCCTACCTGGTTCACATCGTCCTGGTTTCATCAACGTTTTAACATTAATAACAATTCCATGTTTGCGTACAACACATGACAGGCCTTTGTCACAACGACCTGCAAGGTCATACAGTCCCCCGCATTTCTGGCCAACTTGCTTGGCACAAACATCACAGCAGCCACACTCATCTTTAACAGTTCCACCTTCATAAAGAAGTGAAAAAAGGCATAGGAGTCAATATTAATCAATTAGGAAAGAATTGAAACGAATTGAAACAAAAATGGAATTAAAAAAGTGACAAAGTAACACTTTCGTCCGTTGTTTAGATAAACTTTGAACCAGACAGCAGCAGCGCACCTTTCTATTTAATCATTCATTCTAAGGTGAATTACACAGATGTACATAAATTCTTATCTGGGATAGGAGAAAGGTTTCAAGTGGAAAAGCACACATCATGGATCATCAGCGTGAATATGTCAACTGGAAGGTTATCGAGAAGACCTCCCTCMGCACGTCCAGTGGATTAAATTTCAAATCGTTATTTTTATTCACCCTTGCAAAGAACAGTTTTCCTGTCTAGACTCACTAAGGACACTAAGCACGCTTATAAAGCTAATGCATTTGAAACGGCTTAAAACGTTATATGAAATGGTTATAGTCAGAGTACTCCTAAGAACATGTAATTCTCAACAAAACGAAAAGATGAGGACGATGAGAGCTTGAAGTGCATGACTTCTCCATTCTTTGGTCTTACGGACATCAGGTCACATGAGTATTGGGATCAACTTTCAGAAGAGATTCCCGTTTCATTCAGGTTTTTCGAGAAAGTAAAAACTCATATCGTCTGTCCTATCTTACCGTTTGGGCAGAAAGTCGTACTGCATTTCTTTTTTTCACAGTAACAAGATAAAGATAGCACMGAGGCAAATAGAGCACACACGATTATCAATAAATACGAAGTCTTCATTTTTTTCTGCAACAAAAACAAACATCATCAGTGGTTTACATTATGAATAGGTGGATRGGGCTAAAGGGGTTGTTTAAAACTTCCTACATCTTTAAATATTCTAAACTCGCGGACGGAGTATAACCCAAAGTTTATTATCAGTGGCATAATGTTATTGATTGACAAACCCCTTAAGTACACTGTTTGCCATACTCAGTATACTTCTGCACGAAGTCAGTCTATTGATGTAAGACGTATTTCGGAAGATTGAGAAATCTTAAAAAAGACTACCTCAATGACGTCATCGATTTTGGAGTCGAACTGGGAGGAGAAAAGCTAAGAGTCTCTCGAGGCACTTGTGATAAAAGAACAGCAAACCCTTGTCTAAAGAGCAACAAAATGCGCAGATCAATCCGATAAAGAACTCCAGGTAAACTGCATCAAGGAAAACGCTGATAGCACGCAGCGTGATGTTGCAATCGCAAAGCAGAAAAGTTTGATATCAAGTWTACGATATTAAACTCTAATAATTCATTTAATCCAAAATATCCATATACTCTTTATGCRTTCAGAAGAATCAATGAATTCTAATCGAAAGTGATGAGATATACTCCTGCGACGAGACTCAGGTCGGCGTTTATTCATKGCCAGAATACTTCACTTTTGCTTATCATGGAAAAGATTACRTTCATATTCCTTTTCTCGGTTATCTGGACGTTCAAAACARTAAAATGGAAGAAATAAGGAACTCACCGTCAACGTTCAGTTCAACGTCCTGACTTGTCGATATCTAATCTGCAAAAGAAACTCGAGTACGGCTTCTCGCGGTTTTGTAAGCGATTATGGGTTGGCAGTAGCATGCAGGGCGTCACGCATTGTGTAACGAAATCTACACCATGCGCAACACCTTAACTCAGAGTCATAAAAGAATCCATCGGAAATTGAAATATGTTCAAAACCCGGTGCTAAAATAAATAAAGTAACTTTGGACTTGTTGTTTGATAGCACATGGGTTAATTCTACCCATCGCGCAGAGGAATCATGTAAAATTCTGTTTCAGCTGTGGAGTTTCAACATGCGTTTCAATGCAGGGATCGGGGTTAATCCCCCGATTTCACACYTTGCGGGATATGGASATCGAAAGTGATGCAAGTTGACGACCGTTGGGTCATGGATTACTAAATCCCTTCCCTTGAAACTAAAGATTGCCCAAACGAGTAATTGTAACTATCAAAACTTTGGAAAAATGACATATTTGGATTCACTAGTCAAGGAAATTATAAAAGTTTGAATGTTCTCAAGAAAGTCAAACATAGCAGTATATAAATTCTAAAAAATTAACTAAAGAACAACAACAACAACAATATTTCCTGAGCAATAGTTTTCATTATAATTTACATTGTACATRGTAAAATGTCCAGTATGCTGCGAATATACCAGCAAGACCAAGAATTTTGCCACATGATGTAGAACAGTACACCAATAATACAACATTAATGGGTCCAGAAAATACGGCCAGTTGTTGTAGAGTCAATGTTATGTGTTTGCTCCAGAGAGTATAAATGAGTCCAATATGTGATGGGAGAGAAAAGTGTAAGACAACCATTTCCATACAAAAACCTGTGTAATAAAAGTGTCAAAGTCAAAAGCCTTTCTTTTATACAAAYGACTGCAGTTGTATCTTTATACAGCCATGATGCTCTTTCATAAAACAAAAGAGATCACAGTTGACATGAAAAGTAAAATAACTTGGAATCACTTCTAAAGCTAAGTTTGTATTTCCAGAAGAGCCTAAAATAATGAAGACAAGAAATATGTCACTGTGAGTCACTGACTCTAAGCTAACAAACAATGAACAAAAAAGAGTGACACAAGGTCAGAGGAACTCACCAATGATTGAGTATACTGCTAGAGTGAGTGGCAAAGCAGTAATAATTGTACCCAAGTACATGGATATAACCAGAAATACAGAGGCAAAGAAAGAACCAGGAATACTCCAATGCAGTCCTTCAGGTCTCCATAGTAATAATATACATGCACACAAGAATAACTGCAAAAGAAAAAGGGAAAGTATAAAATCATGACAAGTCAATCAATGAGTGATCAACCAATCAGTGACTCAAATGAATTGATTTACCCATAATTCCCAGTGCTTGTCCGGAGACAATGACACTGCTAGTATGCATGACAGAAATACTGAGATATTGGCCAGCGATGAAGACCCAAGAATGACTTTGACCAATGTTAATTTACCTCTATTATCCTCCTATAAATCAAATCATTTAATTGACATCTTTTTGTACTAAAAAGAGTGAATTTGAAGCAATATAACTAACCAGGCTTTCTTTCACTTTTAATTTGTGTCTTTTCAAACTAAGTGCCAGAACCATGAAGAGCATCAGGTAATAGAAACGACCAAAATGTATTGTCATAACTGAAATACATCAATTAGCAGTTAACAGTTTTAATAATAATAGAAAATGGGTTAGTGGGAACCCCTGTAAAGATATATTTTTCTTAAATTCTTGAGCCGATAGAAGAGACAATGGACATACACAACCATTGACCAAAGCAGGGTCATACATCTAAACAATAGACAACATTATTAATATTTATTACATTAGCAAGAATCATACCAGAGTTCCTTAAATAACTAGCTTTTTTGTCCAATTTTGGCTCCAATAAAAGTGAAAGGACAAAGGATAAAAGGAGGGCCACAAAACTACAACTTAAAGTAGAAAAAATAATTAAAAAACTTATTAGTTTAATAAATTCAATCTTTAAATGCGTCAAGAATAGCCTAATCAATCTTATCTTACCCTCTTTGGATATGTGACTGTTCATCAAAGTCATTCCAGGAAGACACAATCAAATACACAGCAAAAGAAGATGATGCTCCGTARCACAACGGTAGACACATTTGAAAAGGTATAACCTAAAAAACATATTTTTTYCTACAACTGTGAATTATCTCAATTTCTGTTTGGTCGAGATCAGAGGTAAATAAAAGTACAAACCATGGTCGCAAGCTTTTTTGCAGTGTCTGTGTGTGTGTGGGAGGGGGTGATTGTTACCTAAATTTGTTACATGATTGTACATGGCCTGTACACTTTGCTTTCAGAAAACTCCCTGGAATTAAATTTACTAGTTGAAAGGGTGTTATCTTACCATTGATGCAGCTTTTAAACCAACTGGAAAACCAATCAACACAGACACAACAGCATGGAAAAGTACAGAAGAATGTTCTAGCCTCACAAGCTTTACAAGAAGGATCAAAGAAGTTATAAAAGACACCAATAACAGCCAATGGAGTGCAATCAATCTGAAAATAGCATTATTTAAGAGTATCACTATGAAAGTATAAAATCATAAGAGAAATAAACAGTCTGCAGATGACATAATCTTCTAAATGAGCAAACATGGATAGCAAACACAATTGTACTGTAAATCATGACTTACTCGGCATCTAAGTTAAAAGCCAGTGGGAACATGAGGGATATAATGTAGTAACAAAGGCTATAGGTAACCTAAAAACATTTAGATATCACTATCAGCATTTTATTAAAAGTCAGAGTAGATATACTAAATTAATGTAATGCTCATACATATACATAAAAACTACATTCTAGCAACTAACCTGCATGGGGTTGAAATTAAGTTGGAACAGTTCAATAAAGACTCCACTACAGAGAATAACTACAGTCAGTCTTTTGGCATCAAGGTTGTTATGAAAGTGAGTAAAGGAGACTCTCAAGCACAGCAGCCCCCACAACAGTACAACAGTTGCTGAAAGATGTAGATGTTGCTATTCATTAGGCTGGTTTAGATTTGTATGACATTCAGACATAAGGTAACTGTTATTCACTTTTATGGAATATTTTGCCTAATTCCCCCTCTCATTTATAAAACAATTTCACAACAAACGTCATCCTGACCTGCAACATCAGCTCCAGAAGGCCATTGGTTGGTTAGAATTATCCAGACAGGGAGGATAAGACTGTCATAGGCAAGTAAGATCACGATACCAATCCCWAAACATGTTTGAACTCCCTACAATTCAGCATTATTATTTATTATTATAAATTATAATCACATTATTCACAAAGATGTGAAATGATAAGGAATATAAATCTCACACCTTTTTAAAAGTAACAGATTTTTCATCATAGAAGATAAGTAACTTTGAGAAAAACAAACTGAAGACAACACAGGCAATTGGACGATATTTTATGAAAGCTCTTGGCCATAAATATCCCTGATCTAGAGCATGATGAGGTGCAATTGACTGAATGACCACAGAAAGTTTACTAGACTGAAGACACCAACAAAGCCAAGTAGCTTGCCAGTTTACMACATTTACAATAAATAACCTGCAAAATTAGAAAAATATTGTCTGCTGGTTTCAATYCATACAATAATTACACAACCAACTTGATATAGTGCTGTATATTACTAAACATACCTGAACATAACATAGATAACAATTACTGCAGTAACCATTGCATAGTACACAGAATATAAGCTTTGCTCAAGAAGAAAAAACTCACAAAGGACCATTCCTTAGGAAAAAAGAAATTCAATCATAGTATATATCATTTGGTACAGAATTAATACCACTGTATTTTAAAATCAATGTTATGCTGTTTTGATTATATCCTTTAACACAATTACCTGCTGAATGGAATACCATGATGGTGCTCAATACTGATTTATTATTTGACATCCAAATACTGCCCACACTCAATAAAGACAATGTTGTMAATCCGACCAGAATAAGCTGCATTTGACTAGACAAGCTACATCTCACTATCAAGGATGTTTATAATTGTTAAGCTGTAACAATCAACAAGGCAACTGGTAAATATATCCAACAACCAATATCAGTTGCATCAGATGTCCGAGAAGAAAGTGAAAAGGTGTTTGGAGAAACAATAATAACCAATTATAGTTTAAACTAATCAAACCATTAGAAAACAATCATTTCTTGTTTTGGATAAAAGGATACTTAACATAGGTCCACCAACTACCAATCATGCTCAAATAGAATACAGTCAACATTGCTAGAAAAATTTGATGAAGTGTCTGCAAGACAAAATAATATGCAACATTGATATTACTTGTGGAAGCCATATTAAACTACAAGCTCAACCATGTACATGTACTAATCCTTTGTTCACGGAATTCTACATAATTTTCAATTAATTATCATATTGCCAAAAGACCATGTAAATGAGATATCAAAAAATGCTTAAGATTTCAAGATTGTATGTTGACCTTTCTTATTCCTAATGATTTGGCAGAAATTCCAACAACTAAGCCCAGAATGATGTTTCCATATAATATTGGTAATCCAGAAGTAGATATCAAGCCATTTGACCAGAAGAGAACTGAAAATATCATCTGCATTTAAGAAAATAATTCAGCTTTGAGTAACAAAAAGTATATTATAAAGTGTATGAGAATTCAAAAAAAGCCACTGAATAGAGTAGAGCATGTACTGTACAGGCAATGCACAAGATGTGCAGCCCTTCTACATGTATTTGTGCTTTTACTGCCTCCCATATGTATTTTTACCATGGTAACATSGATAAATAGCCTTACCAGGCAAACTGAACCAGAGTAACATCTCATCTTATACACAAATGTTGAATGTAAGTCTAAAAACTTTATCACATCAGCAATATTCAAGCAAGTGCAAAGGAAAACTGGAAAGATGCCACAGAAGAGAAGTTGAATCTAAAAAAAAAGAAAATTTCAATCTATTGAAGTCTACAAAWTAACACATGCAGCTGCCCAATTTAAACAAACTACATGTTTGAAGAATAGGCCTTCAGCAACAAAGAATTATAGACTGAGTGTCATTTAAAGACAATAYTACAATCACTATTCATTCTAATTTACCCAAGTGGTAAGCTTCCCAAATTCCATAACGTGGATAATTATAAACAAAGATCCAGGAATTGTGAGTAAGTTAAATAATAACAATGTCTTTTCCATTGGTCCAATAATATCACCTGAAATAAATCACAGTATAATTATGGTCAATAATATCTTACTTGTCTGTAGAAATGACAATTAATCTTACTGTCTGTTGGCTTGAGTTCATCTCCTGTCTTATGTATAGTAGGATGATACAGAAAAGATGACTGGCTAGGGACAAGAAACACTTGGACAAATAAAAACCTATTGAAGAAATAGAAACTATTGACTTAAATACATATGAAATTGAAAATTATGGAAGATGTATACCTACCCATAAATAATGCAAAAAAATGGAGCAGAACACCAACCAAACAAAAGAGCTGAAACACTTGTCATTACAAACTGGCCAGTTATTGGATAAGCAACAAACAAAATGTACTCCAAATACTGTGGAAGGGATGCAACAATTGTTGTATAACATGCAATGTAAATGAATGTTATGAATGCAGGATAAAATAGTTGATCTTTTATTTCTAATGAATCATTACCAAGCAAGGTTCTGTGGTCATGCTGTTCAGTGTCTGTGGTGTCATATGAAATCTGCTATAAATTTTAACAATATTTTTACCACAATAAATGCAGGTTCCTCCATTTGCATCTGCTTTAACTGTAGAAGCCCAACACCACCTTAAAATGAGACAACAATTCCATTATTATCATTATAAAATCAAATAAAAGAAGTAATTCAAATGAAGTAATTCAATACTAAAATAGAGGGAAAATTTGTTTCGGAGTAAAGAAATGCCAAATCAGAGACATTTTGGATCAAAAGAATCTAAAGAACTGAAGAATKGAGTTAATGATGCACTTGTAACCTGTCCTGAAGATATTAATTATTATTCTAAATTATATGTTATATTCTGGGTTATTGCAGAATGACAACATGTAAAAGCTATTTATTTATAGGCATTGGATAATATCAACAGTTTAAACAATACTGTACCTGATAGCACTAAGAAAACATTGTAAATAAAGACAAGACCAATATTAAAGAAAGATTGCCTGAAAAAAGTAATAAATAAGTCACTTTAGAATAAAAATCTGCAGACTTCTCCATAACAAATAAAGAAAAACACAAACAAACAAATGAATAAATAAAAGGAGTAGTGCCTATGAACAACACTAATATGGCTTATCTTTTTCAGATAAAAAAAGTTAAAAAACATGTACTATATAACAGATATAATGCATGTACTTACCATATAAACGGTAGAAGGCTATAGATTGCTACAAATTGTAGTGCCACTATACTAATTATAAATGCTGTAATAATACTATGAATAAAAAAAATTCACTCAGTGTATTTGAACTTCTGAAGAAATTCTTCCTCAATACTTTCACTTGAATAAATATGTAGTGGTTATCTGTTCATTTTGTCAAAGGCATTCTAGATACATTCATGCATTTGATTCTTGATAATGATATTATTTGCATAATCCATGCACACAAACAAACAAACCAATAAAGTATCATGGGTATACAGTTTTGAACACTTTGAAAATGTCCTGTTCACTGTACCAGCAATGACTTCAGTCTGTACTTTGATACATAAATTTGATTAAATTACATGGATGTAAACATAGATCCCATGATGCGTTTATCCATTTTTGGCTCTGTGCTTCTTTTGGGGATGTCAAACTTAACATAAAGCATTATTCAAGAGCATCATTCAAGCTAAATTTCTTTTAAAAGTTTAAAAGCTTAACTTACCTTTTCCTCTCCTTAGACATATATCCAATAAGGTACATACAAATTACAGCAAAAACACAAACTCCAAGTAACCTGAGTATTGATATTAACATGAAAGTGTAAACTGAGTATCATTGGTAAAAACAAGAATAAAAKAGGCTTACAAATTGCCTGCGAGGTACAACAGAGGAATTGAACAAGGTATGAAGACACAGGCAAACTTTGAGTTGTGTTGACATGGTCCAGCTGAAAATTGTTCTCYAGTAAAGGATTCATCAACCTGTYAAATTTGGTAGTTAATATAACGTCAACGGTAAATACATCAARCATTTCAACTTACACTGCCAATATCTTCAATCCTATCGTTTTTCCTGCCCCTAAAAACATGTTCTTTGACATCCATGCAGCCAGCCACGAGCCTTCGTTTTACATGACTAGCGGTGATCTTTTAGTCTAGTGCTTCGGGTTGGGTACTCCATGTATTGTACATATTTTGTAACAAACCCTGGATCTACGTTTTCTTGTGCAGCCCTGAAAACGAAAGCAATAAGACTTTGGGACCACAATTTTTTGGGAATTTGGAACAGTTCTTTATAAATTGAAATAAATGCCGCCTGAAATGAAATAATTATTGTCGACACCGCTGACCAAGAAAACGAAGGCTCGGGGTTCGATTTGGCTTWACCGAGGAGACCCTGGGGACGAGGTTGGGTTTCCCGCGGATTTTTCGCGAGCATGCCCTGCTCATTATAATTGAAACATCGTAACTCGGAACACTTTTTTTGGCTTTCCATCAACAAGTATTCGCAAAAAGCAAGAAATGTCAGGTCTTATTTAATAGCGTCGTTTAGGTAAGAAGTATTAAATGAAGTCTTAAGTTTTTCAGCTTCATTCGTCATTTCAAACACCTTTATTTCTCACTTTGCATATCACATATACACTCGATCCAAATTTGATACGCCTTCAATACACTCGATCCAAACTTGATACGCCTTCAATACGCTCGATCCAAACTTGATACGCCTTCAATTGCAAGCTGGGTCTTGACAAAGAGGAATGTCCTTGGTCCTCAAGGCTGACGGTTTTTCTTTTTTACAGAAACGGCCGCGAATGATAATTTCTATCTGCGAACAGTTACATGCAATTGGGTACTGTAGTTTTGCTTTGTATTGGCTATGCTGTAATCTTCTCAAGAGTTCTGCAAAGACATTTGACTTAGAGTCACAACTCTTCATGAAGAGAAAAACTCTTTGAAGCAAAAACATGAATTTTAATTAAATGTAAAGGAGAATAAAAGATCAAGAATATTGAAAAACAACTCAAGCAGGGCAGAATAATTTAWAAATAAGAATGAAATGTTGATTTCACACGTTATCATCATCATCATCGATGTTAATAGCTATCATTTATGCCTATTTATTGTAGATAGAGGAAGTTGTCCAGATTAAGCTAAAATTAGCTGAAGTAACGGCTCAACTAGAAGCGGAAAAGTTTGGTGGAACTTGAATAGCGCGCTAACAAAGCAACCTTTTACAAAATAACGTAATGTTCTTGTAGCATTCACCGGATAATAGGTGGGCTATATTTATTTCACACAATTTTGCAGCCACCTTGCAAACATTACAGTGAAATAACACTGTATCACCGCACAGAGAGCTCCTGGGTTAAAAATACTGCATTTTCTGCAATCTCTTGGGGTGTCGGAAAAGAAGAGACACAGCGCATCGATATTGATTTTTCTCTGCGTTTTTACCATTGGAACTGATTTAATTGAAGACAATATTTATTGTGGAATCTCTTAAAGATTAAAAATCAGTCACCCACGCCATTTTCTAAAGACTTCCGTGATCTTTTAGGGGTCTTTTTGAAWATCTGACGGATACCTGTAATTATCTAGCGGGCCAGGTTGTACAGGCTGAGAAGGAGGCTAGTTGGGAATAACTCTACGACATTTCTCTCCCTATTGCTTTCAATCAGCAGACTCCATCAAGCTCGAACAAAAAGACAAAGTAATCATAAATTTAGAAAAACAAATCATTAAAAAAGAATTTAAGAAGAAGAAGACTAAAAAGTGGTGCTGCAGTAGATTAGTCAAGTTTTTTATGTTTTAAAATCATTATTTAATATTCCTGACTGAGTCCAAACATAAAATATTCACGACCTAAGTTGAAAAGGGTGTTAAAGAAAGTAACCTTTAAGACAATGACCATTCAATTTTGAGATATTATCTTTCAATGTCAGGTGATTGCGAACCGTTCAAAGGTTCGCAATAGGTAAACTATGATACCGAACCGCACACGGTACACTATCGCACTAGATAGACTATGATACTGTACCGCACACGGTACACTATCGCACTAGTTAGACTATGATACTGTACTGCACAAGGTACACTATCGCACTAGGTAGACTATGACACTGTACCGTTCACGGTACACTACCGCACTAAGCAGACTATGATACTGTACAGCACAGGGAACAATATCCCACTAGGTAGAACATGCTACTGTACCGCAAACGGTACACTATCGCACTAGCTAGACTAAGATACTGTACCGCACTAGGTACATAATCGCACTAGTTAGACTATGATACTGTATGTCACACGGTACATTATCGCGCTTCGTAGACTTTGATACTGTACCGCA